TGGTATCAGGAGACACACATGGGGGATCTGGGGGGCTCTCCCCTCCTCTTCTGGGAGAAAGGTGGTCCCATTAAGTTGTCACTGACAGGAAATACTCACCACAAACCGTCTTCTAGCAGCCAGAGAAAACACAGAAGCACATGGAGGCGAGCGGCTGCCCTCTGAGCAGCCTGATGCAGCCGTCATCGCTTTACTCTTATTGCTGTGCTCTGCCTGCATCAAGGGGAAAATACTAATAGCGACTCAGATATTTCTTGCGTGTGCACATGCATGTATGCTAATGTTTGTGTTTGTGTGATTTCCCTGCACCTTGAACAGGGAATTCCCCTCAGTTTTTTCACTGCAAAGGGACTCTTGCTTTTGTCCCGGCAGAGCTGGAAACTTTTTAGCTTCTCTGCTCACTTCCTCTGAAACCTCCTTCTCAGCACCGTTCATCACTCTGCTCCTCATCCACCACCCAGAGATGAGACAAGCTGAAACCTCCGTCACATGGTCAGCAGCGCCTCTGGACATCTCTGAGGATAGATGTACAATAGATAGATAGATAGATAGATAGATAGATAGATAGATAGATAGATAGATAGATAGATAGATAGATAGATAGATAGATAGATAGATTGTGAGCAGGTGTGCAGAGAGGAGTCTAGAAGGGAGCTAAGAGTAGGAGACTGACATGAGAGGCACAGGAGAAACTTTCTGAAGGACTAGGGTGGACATGTCTCCACTTATTTCCTTCTTTTTCTCCCTTTCTGCTCATTCACTTTAGCCGAAGGTAACAGAGGTCGGGTGCAGCTATCTGTGTTCAGAGCGTTTTCAGTCTCTGTTTTTTCCTCCCTCCCATGTCCCGCCTCTCTGTGTCACATCATCGGATCTGTCGCTTTGAGACATCTCAGTGAATTTAAGCAATGGCAGCTACTTCAGTAGTAAGTTAGGAGACGGGTTGGGTAAATAAAATTGAGATCAGACTGCAGAGCTTCTACATATCTTGAAATTTTGTTTCTGGAATCATTATATTAATAAATAGGTTAATAAATGTTTTTCAATTTGTGAAAAACTCACACAAAGAGAAAAGAGAATTTGGAGAAATTTATTAATACAATTACTTTAGTCTTTGGCGCTCAGACCTCAGTAGGAAACATAGTGCTTAATTTTGATAGATATACATGAACAGAAGCAAAGAACAGAGCTGTTTCCCTCCCAGGCCTGAAACTGGTGGTGGAGTGGAGATAGATGGAGTTGGTCAGTCTGTAGACTGCTGGTTGGAGAGACGGTCTGCTGAGCTTTATGGGGAGATCCAGTGGTCTGCGTGAGCTGATAGTAGAGCTTCACTCAGGGACCTGGAAGATGGAAGTCCAGCTGGATAACACAGGTGGAGAGAACCTGTCCATGATGAGCAAGCATGGAGTGACAGTGGAGAGGAAAAACTCCCCTTTGGGAAGAAACCTCTGGCAGAACCAGGCTCAACATGGCGGTCTGCTGCTGGACCGGTTAAGCTGAGACAGGGAACGCAGTAAGAGTCCAGGAGGAATGACGCTCTGATGAAGCTTTAGCTACGAAGGTGGAGGAGGGGCTGGAGGGGGGTGGAAACGGCGTCATCTGGATGACGTCACAGCGCATCCACCGAATGCGCAACAGAGCAGACATGCGCATATTGGAGGCCTTTTAAGATGAACTTTGGATGCTGATTGGCTGATAGGTGGATGTATGAAAAACAAAGAGTTTCTTTAGCTGAACTTCCGCATGGCTCCATTTTGAGAGCTGCAGATGTAAAGGTGAAACAGATCTACTGGTTTATGCAACATGCAATAAAATATATCTCCTATTTTACCAGTAAGTTTACAAGAAAATAATGTTCTATGCTATATTTAAAATGCAGCATCCATTTTTCTGGATGGATGGAATTGAAATTGTTCTTCTAGGGATGCATGATTTATCGATTTTAGCATCAGAATTGACTGTTATTGGCTATTTTTTATACATAAAAATTTTTGGGCCCTACATATATATATAATGCACCAGAAGGAATCTCTCTGACTATCTATAAATATAAATATCAGTGTATTGTGGTACTCATGTGTACGGAAGAGGGTTAGGGCCACTGAAAAAAAAAAGTTAACTGATTTTTTAAACTTTATTTCAGTTTAATATGGGAAAAAAGAGTTCTGACTTTTTTCTCAGAATTCTGACTTTAAACTCAGAGTTCTGACAGCTAACAAACATGTTTGCATCAAGTCATAGCCATGTCTGTTTTAGAGACTCTTGTTTTAATGACCTTCTGCTCCTCCATTAATGAGGGGACCCTCAGGCACGTAAAAAGTTGCCTAATTCACTGGCCACCTCAAACAACTCACATCTTTGTCAGTGATGCTGAATGCTCCACATCTCTTCCTTCATGGTGCCCATCTACATTAAGATCCAAAATTCTGAGATTAAAGTCAGAATTCTGAGAATTTTTTTTTAGAATTTTGACTTTTTTTCCCATGTTAAACTGAAATTAAATTTAAAAATCAGTTAACTTTTTTTTTTTTCCAGTGGCCCTAATCCTCTTCCGTACATGTGTTCTCAACAGTAGGAAAGCATTTAATAAATATATGTTTGAGCTCATTTTTGGAAAAAAAAACAAAACCTAATTTTGGTCGAGTAACTTTAGGTCCATCAGCCTCCACCCTGAGAGCGCCCCCACCAGAGTGTCCCAACCAACTTTCATAACAAAGTTACAGCCTTGAAGAGAGGGCAACGTAAGGCGAACAAGAAATACCAAAGAACTGAAATACCAGGGCTCGATGTTAACCATCGCCCGATCTCCCGGGGCAAGTAGTTTTTAATGTCGGGAGAGTACAAATTTCATTGCATTTGTATGGGCAAGTGCAATGATCACAAAAAAATATATTTATCACTCGAATTTACTTTAAAATCACCGACATTCGCTGAAAACGACCCACAAGCATTGGCGGCGCCATTTTTGTTGTTTTGTACACATTTTCGCGTGATTTGAAAAAGCCGCATCATTTAAAAAAAACGCGTAATTTTCCGCCAGATGGCACGATTTTTGTCCGGCACGAATCAGACACAGGCTAAAAAACAAAAACAAGGCTATTTTACCCTCCACCCATTTCCACCCCCACCCAGATAATCCTAGATTAAAGATTATCGGTCAGAGATTAGGAAAACTGGCATAATTGTATGCCATGCACACAGTGTAAATATTTCTATCATGTGGCAGCCTTCTGTACAGTGATGCAGGTCATACATTAAAAAATGTTCATTAATGTTTTTCTCTCAGACATTGGAGAGGTGCATTTAAATGTTATAGAGCTAAACATGTTA